CCCATGATTACAGCCAGCCGGCCAGCCCTGCCACACACCAGAGATTCGTTTTAGGGATACTCAAGCCGAGACATTTTTAGTAGTAATTCATATTAGTACACTCAACAAACCTCAATTCTAAGCAGTTTTTCAGAGTAAATGTTTGGGGTTTGTTGCCAGAGGTCCTCCTCCCCTCGCTCATACCCATTTTCTTTTGGGGTAGTTTTGGTTCAAGAGCGAAAAGAAATAGGGAAGCAGGAAATTTTCTTGCTGGATATACGCAGATAGAGTCCCGTCACAAATCTTATTACTTCTGACAGAAGAGGCTGGCGTAAAGTAAGAGAGCGAGCGAGCAATACAGCCCAGGAAGGAGTCGAAAGGTGGAAATGAGTCACAGTCCCCAAACCCCATAAAAACTCCACAGCACTCAGCAAGCCCAGGTAGGAGCCAGAGGGCTTTGGCCTCCTCTCCGTCCTGTTGCTTTTCAGATTCTCAGTAAGAACCTAATCAAAAAAAAAACAAACAAACAAACCTCTGAAAGTCTTTAGGGCTGTAGAGTAACACTGGCACCAGTACAAACTTACCGAGGTTATTCGATGTAACCATACGTGACCCCAGGAGCATACACTGGAGACGCCACACCGGTGAGATGAGGACCACGTTAGTGACACCGCCAGCTCCAGCTCTGCTTGGCGTGACCATCCCCAGAGCCACTGGGATGGCCCACGCAGGTGGCACAGCTCCAAGAAATGGGAGTTGAAAAGCAGAGGGTGCTCAGAGGCAGCTCAGGACCTGCGCTGCTCGCTAGTTAACGCTGAATATAACGCCACCGTTTCCGTAAAGACCTCTGTGCCTGCCAGCACGGCGCAGTAAAGGCAGGAATTCAGCAGCTGCTGATGTGTTCTCCGAAAATAACATGCCCAGGTCTTGTAGCGCTGGTGTCTTTAATCGCTGTTTAACTGTTTGAACATCGGCATTGCCGGGGATTTTTATGGTCTGTTTATAAAGCACAATGATTCCCTTCACGGAGAAGTTTGTAGCTACAATTACCCTTCTGTTGCAACCTGCCAGGAGTCGTTGAAAGCCTCTCCCAGCAAAGAGGCTGGGTGATATTCCGCCTGCTGCTCATGCTGGCCGGCAGAGACGGTGGCGGCACCTAAGGCAGCGAGGTGGGTGCAGGTCAGAGTCATGCCAGGAAGACGCTCTGCCTCGGGCGATGACCAGCTCAGCTCCCTCCTCACCTGTGCAAGCTTTGCGGACACCAGGACGCAGCTGACACGACGGAGAAGGTGTGAAAAGAGATGGCAGCCTGGCTTCCCGGACCCTGCCTTTCCTCCCTCCCTTCTCCCTCCTCCCCTCGTAGGGTGTGACTCCCCAAACTCACCCCCTGCCTGAACACGAAGCCAAAGCAGCGAATTGAGACCAGCGCCTGCAGCTTGGTTTATTCAGTAGTAACCGTGGCTGTTATTTTGGTCGGCTCCTCTCCCTCTCTGTCCGCCTGCCAGTCAGCCCCCAGACTCTCCATGGCCGTAAAGAAAATTGCACGTGGAGACAAGGTGTGCCGTTATTGCGTGAGCCCGCACGACTCCCTCTTCCAGGCTCTCTGGAGAGAGGGCTGTCATTTGCAACGGCTTGGTCCAACTGACCTCTCCGTCATCGGGTGTACTTGTGGGTACCTGCTTTCTGGCTGCAGGGAAATTTCAAACCATGCAGGGAATTTTCAAGCAACCGCTTTCGATCGAGCGGCCCCGTCACCACAGCGCCGTCACCCGCTCGAAGTCACGGGGGCGGCCGAACCACCGGAGGCGCGGGAGCGCAGTCAGGTGAGAGGGAAGGCACCGCTGACGCCCGTGACCAGCGCTGGGGACAGAGGTGGCATGGCAGAAAGGCGATGGGCAAGCGGGCCGAGCGGATGCTGGGATCCTGTACAGCACGGGAGCTGAGCTGGCTGGGAGGGAGACGTGGGGGAATCTACAGCTTAAGAGCAGTAAGCCAGAAGGGGGGCCAAGAAAGAGGTACGAGGCACGAGCAAAAGCAATTGTCTGAGGAGGCCTAGTTGCTCGTTTTGCACAAACATCGCAGTCTCGGGACAGCTGTGCTAGGCTGCAGGAAGCAAGGAAGGGGGAGAGGAAGAAGTAAAACACCGAGAGCCTCTTCCAAAGCCAGAATTAGCGAGCTCTGCGGGTCTCTGAACGTGGCCATCTACGGCCCACCGTGCACGGCCACGGCACACGCTGGAAGACGCCCAGCGCACATGGAGCGAGCCGACGATGGTACCAATGTCACACATGCTCCCAGCCAAGTCCCAGAGGACCCAGAAAGGGAAAAAAAGCAGAGGGAAGTAAACGAGGCTCCAGGGAAATTAAGGCAAAGTGGAAGTCCTGGCAAAGCGAGGTAATAATTTCCTTTCTGAATGAGTAACTGTTTAGAATTTAACCAGGCAAACACGATTAAACCAAATGAATATAAATTCTAGGTGCAGTAGTAAGTAATGAAGTGAAGAAAATGAACAGCGCCTAATTAACAAGAAAATAGGATCTGCCATAACACGTTGGAATCTAATGAAAAATGAAGGCTCAACTTCCCCTTTCAAAATTTTTCCAGATGGAAAATACCTCTGTTTTACATCCGGCACCTTCTGAAACGTCCAGGGGATTACAGTTGCTGGGAAGAACTGTACTTGATCCAACGACAGGGGCAGGGGAGCTGTTTTGCAAAACACTTGGGAGAAGCAACGCAGCTGGGAGATGACTCTCCAACGCTCTGCCCACGCATGAACCCCAAAGTGCCCCCTTCACCTTAAAGTTTAAGAGGGGGGCCGAGCAGCCCTCCCCGGTTAGCGCGGCTGCGGGAGGCAGCC